GGAAGTATAATGTCATCGTTACTTGGATCATATAAAGCCATGCTTCCTGTGACAACATCATCTGCCGCATCATCTCCGTTTTCATCAGTTCGACGACGCTGTAAACCTTCCGAAGCTACAGATGTGCTCCAAGATGGAAGGCGAAAAGTCAAGTTTAATTGCGCTTGTTTTTGTTTAAGTTGTTGTTGTTGCTGCTGTTGCTGTTGCTGCTGCTGCTGCTGTTGTTGTTGCTGCTTCTGAATTTGAAGTTGTTGATGATGTTGCTGTTGAAGAATCTGTTGCTGCTGCTGTTGCAATAATTGAATTTGAATTTGTTGTTGTGTTGGTTGTTGCGGTTGTGATTGTTGCGGTTGTTGTGGCGGCGGCTGTTGTAAAGCATTGCCAAAGGATCTAAATGGAAAGTGCGTTTGCTGTTGAGGATAATAACTTGTTGGGGATGAAGGCGTCACTGCAGGAGTGGTTGGATCATAATAGTCTAAGGGACCTCCCAGTCCATGATCAAATCTCGCATGACCTGACTCATCATGTATAATCCCATTGCCTTGCACATTATTTGCCGTTGATGTTCTTCGAATATTATGACTAAACATCCCGCCATTATAACCAGAATATTGATCGCTAGCCTGTTGTAATTGAGGTGGAAAATATCCATTATTATTGTTCAATGCATGTGGTGTCTGTGCCGATGGAAGATTTGTCAAATTCTGTGATGCAAATGATGATGTCGATGGTGCCCAAGCTGAATAAACATTATTATTAATTTCACTTTGTGATGGAAGTGTTGCCGAGCGTGTAGGTTTGTAGACAATGGACTCCTTTTGTGATAATCAATGGTAAGTAAATTACTTATATATATATATATAGTTATTTAATTTTCAATGATTTTTGAAGAATCGATCGACGAGAACAGGAAAATTCGTTAGGTACACAACAAACCTTTGGTGAATCTTCAAGCCCAGGGTTGCGTATCACTTTCTCCCAATCCTGATCATCATTCTCGGCTAACGCTGAAAGTGAACTTTTGATCGTAGCTTCTAAGTATGTATTTTCATAAGCTCCTATTGCATTATTATATCGATAATAGTTCAATTGGTGTGATTATTGGGTACAAATACTTTAGACGAAAATAATCCTTAATTGTTCAGCATACCTCCGAAACCTGGGTTACTTTTGCTAGCTCGTGGAGGTGTTGTGGGTAGAAATGAATGTCCAAATGAGGGTCCGTATAAAGATTGTTGTGTTTGCTGAAATGTTAAACCCTCCTCTATATTTGAACCTTGCGGTATCACCGATACACTATTACTACGACCGTAACCTACTGCTACAGGCACATTATCTGATGCATGACTAAAAGTTCTGCTATTATACTCTCCATTACTCGTGCTACTCGATGTACTACTATTATTATTCACGCTGCCAAAACCAGGCGGCATCTTAACTGCATATTGTCCA